ACACACACACACACACTGTGAAATAATGAGACAAACCGCGGCCCAACCGATGGGCAAACGCCTCCATCTAGGGCCAGCCCCGATTTTATGGGGACAGCTGGTCACCCTCCACAAGCCCAGCACCCCCCCCGGGACGTCGCACGCAGGGCTCACCCACCCTGCCCCCCTCTCGCCACTGCCTGGAGCCGCGTGGGGCCCCGGGTACGGGGGCTTGTGGCCAGGCCTGGGGACAACAGCGGGGCGGCTGGGGCTAGCTCAGGGGGAGGGGCAGGGGGAGCAGCACTGGGAGACGTTTACTAGCACCCCAACCTCGCTGCTCAACTGGCACCATGCCCAGGACTCCTGCACTCTGCTCCGTGTCTGCCCTGGCCCACTCGCACTGCTGGGCTCGGGGGCCCCGTGGTGGATATAGTCCCCGTTCACCCCATTGCTTTTCTGCATCCATCCCTCTATGAATAAACATTTCCCTTGGCCCTCATCATTGCACCCGGCAGCTTCACTGCGTTCACCCCAGGGGCTAGAACAGGAGTTTCCCGGCCCCATTGTTGGCTGGAGCTGGCTGTAGCACGAACTCCGTCTCGGCCACGAGGTTGCACTCAGCCCGAGCAGGGCAGGCTCCAGGGGAAGGAACGGGACAGGCTGCAGCGTTCGAGCGCCGCCCAGCAACTCCTCTGGACAGACGACACGGGCAGCGGGTGCATCCAGCTCGGTTTATTAAACCCAAGGAAAACCATTCAGTTCACAGTGGTGTGTGTAGAAAAGTTGCTGAACAGATGCCGCTCGCCCCCCTGCCATGGGGCCAGCAGTGCCCAAGGCAGAACGCGCTCTGCCCCTCCCTGTGCTCAAGGCCAGAGTCACACCCAGGGACATGGCTGGGGGGGGGACTAAGCTCCTGCTACAAGACACTGGCGCTACGCAGCTAGTGGAGGGAGATCTGGGGAAAAGAGCCCCCTGCCTCCTTCTCCATGACCCCTATGACTGGGGAGCCACAGCCCCAGGGGGCTGAAGCAAGAGGGGCAGAGGAGGCCAGGAGGGGCCTGGGTTAGCTGGAGCCAGAGGGTATGCCGATGCTGGGAAGGGAGATGGGCCGGGGGGCGGGCTAGGCCGGCGAACAGCCTGGGCTCCGCTAACAGCTGCCGCAGGGAGCCAGCCCTGGACCCCGGCCGGAGGATGACGACAGGTACCCAGGGAAGCCAGCAGGTGCCACCCCAACCCAGATACCAAGGAGCTTGTAAGCCCCAGAGGCTGGGGAGGGGGATGGGGCACCCTGCAGGTTTTAATGCCCTGGGGTGGCACCTCCCCCCCCAATCACTCCCTCCCCTCAGCACATGCAGGCTGATCTGCCCCCTAGCTTGATACAAGTATGACCCGTTCTGAGCCTCAACCAGCCAGCTGGCACGCCCCTGCCCGCTGCCCAACCCCAGCCACCCTGGGAAGGAGTGGGTCAGCGGGAGGCCTTGCTCAGTGCAGTCCCTGTCGCACGTAGGGGGGAAGGAGCTGGGTCCGTCCGTGAGTCCGTCCATCGCTAACCAGGTCTGGAGTACTGAGGTTCCTGCTGCCGCTAGCACTGCCCCGGCTGGGGGCCCTAGTACCTGCCCAGCACCGTGGCCAGCAGTGCCATCCGGATGTACATGCCGTTCTCAGCCTGGCGGAAATAGGCTGCCCGGGGGTCCGAGTCCACCTCCACACTAGGGAGCAAGGGGAGAGTCACTGCTAGGCACTGGGGAGCCCCCCCACCGGGGTGCAGGGACCCCGGAGCCAGCCACAGCCCACAGCCCAGCGCCCCTCACCTGATCTCATTGACGCGAGGCAGCGGGTGCATGACCACCATCCTCTTCTTGGCTCTGGTCATGATGTGCGGGGTGAGGATGAACTGCCCGAAGCACTGGCCAAGGGGAGAGGCTGTTAGCACCCCAAGGATGGGCAGGACCACGGGCATCACTGCCCCTGTCCAGCACGGCTGCCCCACCACCCTACCGCTCCCGGGACCCCCCACCTGGTCACCCCACTGCCCTCGAGGTCCAGGTGCCTTGTCACCCCACTCAGTCACCCCTCCACCCTGCCCCATTGCCCCCAGGGCACCCCCCCAATCCCGCACCCTAGTCACTGCACTGCCCTGTCCCGCCATCCGGGCCTGGTCGCCCCTCACCCAGTTACCCCCAGGGCACGGTCACCCCCCTCCATCCTTTTCAATCCCCTGGGCAGCAACGAAGGGGCCTAGAGGCACAGCCAGGCTCCTGCAGCCAAGCCCCACCCAGGGGCCGAAGCAGCTCGCAGGCCCCGCGGGGCAGCGCCTACACTCACCGCCTCGTACTCCTGCACGGAGTCAAATCGCTCCTTCTGGATGCGGGTGACGTACAGCACGTCCGTGTCGGGGAGAGCCTCCTCGATGCTGTCGAACTCCTCCTGGGAAGGGCAGGGCGTTAGTGCGGGGCGGGGGCATCGCTGGGCGCAGGAGCGGGGTCCCTGGCACGCAGCGGGCTCACCTGCTTGATGCCCTTGGAGGCTACGAAGTGGATGATGTCGGCGGGCATGCGGAGGTCGCGGGGCGTGACGTAGCGCAGGTTGACGCGGTACTGCGTCAGGAGGCAGGCCAGCGAGTGCACCGTGCGCCCGTGCTTCAGGTCCCCCACCATGGTGATCTGGGGAGAGACAGCAGCACCCTGGAGCCCGGCCAGCAGGGGGCAGCGCTCGCACGGCTGCACGGGACTCCTGGGGGGGGTCTGGGGCCATGGGGGTCAGAGCTGAGACTCAGCGCGGCAAACCCCCCTTCCCCCTCAGCTGCATGGGCCTGAGCCCCCAGCCTGGGGCCCTGGAGTCAGAGCCGAGACCTGGCGCAGCGTGGGGCACCTCGCCCGGCCCGGCCCCCTTACCGTCATGCCGTTGACGGTGCCGAGCTCCTCGCGGATGGTGAAGATGTCCAGCAGGGCCTGCGTGGGGTGCTCCCCGACGCCATCCCCGGCATTGATCACCGGCTTCCGGCAGTGCTTGGCAGCCAGCTACAAACGAGACATGGGCTGGGCACGGGGGGGGGCTGCTCACGGCCAGCCACAGCCCCACCCCACGGGGCCGAGTGCAGCCACAACCCATCCCCCTCCCCCGATCCACGGGGCCGAGCGCAGCCACAACCCATCCCCCTCCCCCGATCCACGCGGCCGAGCGCAGCCACGACCCCTCCCCCCGATCCACGCGGCCGAGCGCAGCCACGACCCATCCCCCTCCCCCCGATCCACGGGGCCGAGCGCAGCCACAGCCCCTCCCCCCTGCCCCCGATCCAGGGGGCTGAGCACCAAGAAGGGGGGGGCTCATGGCCAGCCACAATCCACCCCCCATCCCGCCACCAACCCATGGGGCTGAGCACAGCCACAGCCCATCCATGGGGCTGGGCATGGGGGGAGTCCGTCTCGCTCCCAGTCACAGCCTATCCCCCTCCCGCCCTATGGGGGCTGGGGGGGGGGGGA